GTAAGTTTTATTGTTTAGTTGCAAGTTTTATTATTTAGTTGCAATTATAATATAAACTTTTATGGTATAAGAAAAATGTAGATAAAATTATATTGTATTCATATTTTAAATAATGAATTATTAGCAAATTAATTATATTAAATATTGTACTTAAATTTATATTCTATTTATAATTAAATATATTTATTAATTAAAACTTTAAAGCATTTAAAAACTTAAATTTTTATATAAAAATTTAAGATAAATTAATTTTAATTTATATTGTATTTATATTTTATTAAATTAAAGTATAATAATTAATGTATAACAAATTAGCTTTCATAATTTTTTAATTAATTATAAAGATAAATTAAATTAGGTACATTTTTAGTTGGTTAAAAATGTAATGATGTGAGGTTTATTGAAATACATGAAAAAGCTGATGTTGAGGAGGGGATTGGGGAAGAGAATGAAGAAGCAGAATGGGAAGATTTTGAGACATCAGAAGAAGAAAACATAGAAACATATGTTAATATTTGCTTATTTATACTTCTATAATTGTATTAGTTGGAATAAAATTTATACGTTTATGTTTTTATCATATTATTAATTTTATTTTTTTGTTAATATTTATATGATTTTTTTATTTATATTAGTTATACTGTATGTTATTCAATTAAAATATAATTTGACTGTTATTTGCTTATCTATAAAAATTAAACCTATTTTAATTTTTATTATGATATTAATAATAATTTATTTATTGCATTTAAATTACGTTGTATTAATGATTTATTTTGCATTTGTTATATTCTTTTTATAGTGGATAGCTGTAGTTCTCGTTGCACAGAGGCTGTTGATTCCACCCAACTGTAACAGCGAAACCCATTTGACCCCCAAAGACGAGTTTAGGAGGAGGTTCCAACTGATGTGGTTCTGGAGATTCCAGCTTCAGATGCTGATATACAGGCCAAGTCTCCCAGTGATGAGGATACACCTGTGGATACTCCCCAGCAAAGACAGGGATGGGGTAAGCTAGGCCCGTGCAGATGCCTACAGATGGGACGAAGATCCCATTAGGGCTAGATGACTATGGTGGTTTGCCACAAAAGGTTAGAAGACAGATTGTAGTCCAGTTGCGGGAGAATCTCCCAGATGCTTACACAGCGTGGGGACAGGTCCTTCGTGAGCTTTGGGACATGTATTGGAATATATTCAGTGTACGCCCTAAACACTTAATTTCTATCTACAAATTAGATATTTTCAATTTCTATCTTCAAATTTTAAGTAATTTGAAATTTTTTTGTTATTATCATTAATATTTTTATTAAATTATGTATTTATTTATATTTCTATTATTTTCAGCAAACATATGAATGGGATCCTACGATTGAGAAGACTATAAAAGATTTATGGAACATGACAGCAAGGATCAAGTTCAAGCATGCACTTGGTGAGTTGAAAGCTAAGTGTGCAAAGAGAAACTTTCAAGCTAAGCCTCCAGATATGAATCCAGAGTTATGGGCGAAGCTTGTTCATTTATGGACTGAGGTAATGGAGTAAATTCATGTGTTTATTATTATTTATTTTTTAATTTTCAATTGT